TTGTCGCTCAGGGTCTTAGAGCGGCACACCCCTCGGGAGTACAGCCAATAGTCCGTTCCCACGGCGATGGTCATGAGGCTGAAGGCACAGAAAGCCCCTGCTGTGGTCAGAAGCATCAGCACACCCCGGTTAAACACCCTCATGTCTCCTCCTCCCTCTGAGGACCGAGTCTGGCAGAGTTTAGAGGTTGTTCAAAACTTTCCCTCTGTGTCTGATCTTTGAGTTGATCCAGGAAGGAAACTCCGAGCACATCTTCTGCCGCCCCATTTTCCTCTAAACTATAAAACTTTGTTCACAAAGATGTTTCCATGTTAAAGGCACAGAAGCTTGATGTCATCTTGTTGGCTGTGCAGAACAAGTAAAGAAACGGCGCTGAAAGTTGGAGGAAATGATAGAGGAAAGTAGTCTGGAGAAAATGGCATCAGCGGCATGTTTCTCGACTCGTTCTAGTTTGTTGTAGCCCAACTCTGCACGGGCTCAGTCTGCAGAATGACCCCGCCTGTCTGATTGTATGTGTGTGTGCGTTTGTCCGTGTGTGTGTCCCTGTCACTAAGAATAGCACAGGCCTCATGCAAACCAGTTCATAGTCCACCAGGTCAGCACCATGGAGAGCAGCAAGAGAGCAGAAAGTAGTGCGCATTATTTTCTGGCAAAGACACAATAAAACCTTTAGCTCAGCCTAAAAACACTTCAATATAGAACTGCAAAAAGGCAACTTTACATTTTAAATTCAGTCTTAAAGTGGAGATAAGTGCCCGTGAACACTACAGCAGAGCTTCTTTGGTCTCTCTCCTCTTTAGCCTGTAGGATGCAACATCCATGTTTTTGAAAAAAATCCAAAAATTAGCAAATTTTGATTAATCTGACCAGAGAACGGTTTTCCACTTTGCCTCAGTGCATTTTAAGTGAGTATCGGTTCAGAAAAGATGGAGACGTTTCTGGATCATGCTCACATGTGGCTTCTTCTTTGTATGATTGAGCTTTAAGCAGCATTACTGGATTATAAAATGAACTGTGTTCACAGATGTCGCTTTCAGGAAGTGTTCCTGAGCCCATGCAGTGAGTTTAATGTCATTCCTGTTTTGATTTCAGTGCTGCTTGAGGGCTCAAAGATCACAGGCATCCAATATCGATTTTCTGCCTTGTCTCCTGCACACAGCAAGATTTCCTCCAGATTCTCGGACTCTTTTGATGATATTATGCAATATAGATGACGAAATAAGTCTAAGTCTTCACAACCGTTCACTGAGGAACGTTCTGAAACTCTTTGCAGATTGAACCTCTACCCATCTTTAGATCTGAGAAACTCTTCCTCTCTACCATTTCCTTTTTATACCCAATAGTCTTACTGACCTGTTTCCAGTTAACCCAATTAACTGCAAAATATTTCCTTTTAGAACCACTTACTTTTCCTTCCCCAACTCCTCTGAGACATGTTGTTGCAATCAAAATTTTAACAGCAAATTTTCTCAATTCAAACATTTGATGTGTTTTCCATTTTATATTGTGACTAAAATATGAGATTTACGCAATGACAGGAGTCACCGCCTCCTTTCAAATCTAGGATCTAAATTCATCTCTTATATAAAGTCTTGGTCATTGTTACAGTCATGGTAAAAAGAAGAGCACAAACTGTCACTTTTTAGATTTTACATATGAGGATATGAGAAGGAAAATAATTTAAAAAAATTTAAATACAACCTCAAACAAACAAGAACACATGACATATTACACTGTGTAGTTATTTAACAAAAATTAAGCCATAATTTTAGAAGCACTCTGTGGGAAGAAAACCTATCAGCGTAAGGAGCGGCCAGGTGCTGCTATTCAAATGCACTTGATTAAACGATCATCAACAAGTGCGAACACTTCTACCAAAGCAGACGTTTGGCAGTCTGCTGCTCTGGAGCATCAGCAATGATGTTAGGGAAGCATCTGTGGCTGTCTATCAATCTGGGAAGGGTCATAAGGAAGAGGTCAGCAAAGAAAAAGTTGGATAATTAGGGAGATGAAGAAGGAGTTCTGGGAGGCTAGATGTGCAGCAAAGAGAGAGGTGACAAAGGCAAAGGAAAAGGCTTGTAGTGAGTTGTGAGGCTGGACACTAAGAAAGGGAGAGGCAGAGAAAGGATGTGATAGAGATGGAAATGTACTAAGAAGTGAAGAGAGTGTGTTGAGAAGGTGGAAGGTGTGCGTTGAGGGTTTCATGAATAAAGTAAAAGAGGAGGATAAATGTAGGATAGCGAAAAGTGCAGACAGAATCGGGAGTGTCAGGGGTGTATCCTGATTCCTGACAGAAGGATAAAGAGTAAAAGGGAAGTTCAGGTTGAGCTGTTTGGAGACAAAGTTAAAGAGGGAAGTTTGGACCTGTGAAGAGGAGGGATGGTCGATGTTTAAGAATCCGAGGAGGGTCATGATGTAATGAAGGAGGACGGGCAGAGTATTGGTGTGACAGAGGACCCCTAAAGGGAACAACTGAAAGATGAAGCAGCCACATTTGGTGAAAACCAATCAGCACAAACATCCCATATCACCCGTCAAGCACGGTGGTGGAGGAGTGAGCATTTGGGCTTGTTTTGAAGCATCAGGACTCAGGCGCCTTTCTAGTTATGGAATCAACCATGAACTCCTCTGCGTACTAAAGTATTCTAGACTCAAATGCGAGGCCATCTCTCTGATAGCTAAAGCTCGACTGAAATCAAGATCTGCAACAGGACAATGATCCAATGAAAAGGAAAAAGTATACTTTCTCTGTGCCATGACTGTATGTATGCTGTATGTATAACCAAAAATGCATAATCAGGTAGAAAAAAAAACATTTTGAAAACACTTTTAAATAGACAGAACTCTCATGGGGCTTTTTCTTTGGCCAGGTTTACTCATTACATGTCCTTTAATATTAATATTGTCATCAGTATTCACTCCACAAGCATATCATACAAGTGATTAAAAGAATAAATGAGGATGTGACTATTTAAGGCTTTGCAAAGTGAGTGGCCATGTGTGTGAAGAAGCAAAAGCAATCAACCCCAACCAACGAGCTTCCTCGCTGTAAAATGTTTTGTTATGATCAATCACCGTTTCAGCTTCTCGACTAAACCGCACATTATTATATATATGTCATTGGTGAACTTGCACAGCAGGCCTTTGAACACAGTGTTTCTGTTGAGAAGTTAAATGTGCACATTTAATAAGCGTTAATAATAGTTTCCAAGGAGCTGTAAGCAGAATCGGGCTGTAATCCTCTGCAGATTCATCCGTCCAAGCGACTTATTTCATGTTCTCACAGAGCCATTTGATACTTATTATCACTACAACTATAGAACTGCTCATTATAGCTGCTTTAATTTCAAGAATACAATACAGATTTAAAAATCTGTATCGCTTTCAAGAACAATCCCTCCTCTCCATCGCAGACATAATATCTCGGTAAGAAATGAAGCACGATCACAAGATTGTCTTTGATAAAAAGGAGAAAAACACAAGAGAGCCAGAGTTTCTGGAATGTTTTATGATAATTCATTTTAATGCATCTTTCTGCAGGTGTCTCTCACGCGCAGGTAAAGACAGCGCATGCAACACATGTACACTGTCCATTTACACAATCCCTTGGTTGCTTAATAAAAGTTGCCCACTTCCTCCTCCTCCTGCCTTTTTGCATAGTTAACACTTTACTCCCCCATCTTTTGCCCTCCCTCTGTCTTTCTCGTCTTATCACATTTCCTTAAAATGATATGAACGTTAACCAGGGGGGAGGGGGGGACGGAGATCA